CAGTGGTGGGCATATATCACACCATAATAGATTGCGGTTCATGCTCATGCCCACAAATGGCCACATTGAAGACGGCAGGTGGTCAAACGTCGCTTAAATTTTTCAAATGAAAAATGTGGTGCTTTACAAGAGCACAAGGCTGAACCACTCCCCTGAAACCATTAGAACTTGTACAGGATATTTTAATGCACGGACGGGCCACTCAACTGGTCTAAAATGTTTAGATTATCTCTTGCTTTGGACGCAGCAGCTCAATTGGAACGTATACTCAAGGACCTAACTTGCACCCGTTTTTTTTTTTTTTGCCTAAAAGATCGCTGATCACTGCTTCCGAGAAAGGAGATAATAAAACTCATGGATAAAAATTTCTTAAACATGATTAGTCAATCAAAATGGAAGCACCTTTCCGTGGTCCATAGAATTTGCAATAATTCAAGCAAAATTTAATTTGAAAAGTAAATTTTGATCGTGCCATCCCTCAATATAAGATAATTTGTTGCCATTTTCAATTATTTTTACAATTATTTTACAATGTCTTGCGCCTTTGGATTTAAACCTTGGCTTCTAAGTGATGATGATGGTAATGGTAACTCAATCAATGTTATTCTTACCAGTTTTCTATAAATGTATTGCTTTTTTTGATTTAATGTAATTTCAAAAAAAAAAAAAAGGTAACAAAATTTTTGTTCTTTTTTTCTCACAACAGTTCATTAAAAAATGGTAACAATTATACCAACGCGGGTAGGTCTCTACCTAGCGAATCAAAGGAAATTAGCAATTTGCGCCGGGCTTTACCGCAATTTTTAGCCGTTAGTGCAAAAAATATTTTACTTTTTGGTAAATCATTCAAAACCGAGTATAATTAAATCGAAAATGATTGTTTTTTTTTTTTTTTTTTTTAATTGTTTTATTTCATTTTAGTTTATGGCATGACATTGGGATTCCCAACAATTGTTATACCAGCGATACAAGGTGGTGAGGGCAGAGAACCGAGTGATATAGTATTAAATAGAGATCAAATCTCTTGGTTTAGTATGTCATTGTTATTTGTTAAACGTGCGGTGGATAAACAAATGTTTAATGGGAAATTTTTTTTTTTATTTCTTTTGTCTAGGTTCCATTAATTTAATTTGTGTACCTCTAGGATGTATATTCTCGGGTGTATTAACTCAACCTATAGGCAAACGGAGAGCTATGCAGGTATTTAGCAAAAAAAAAAGGAAAAATATATATATATTTACGCCCTATTGATTGATTGAATCGATCTAAGCCTATGTGTCCGTCGGATGCGTATCCATATATATTTGTATGTTCAAACTGCAAGTAGCAATTTTTGAGATATGTCGATGAAATTTGACTGCATTGATCTAAACTTGTCTGCCCGTCTGTCCATCTGTCTGCCCTTTTATACACTACACCACTTGCGGTACAGGATATATAATGTTAGCGCGGACGTATATAATACACCGGGCTGAAGGTAGACCCATTTTTTGTTCTACAGATTTATGTCTATTTGTCCGTCCCTGCAAATAATTTGTGTTCAACTTATAGGGCTCAACTTTTGAATCGTAATCTGAATTGATCTAAGCCTGTCTGTCCCTCTGCCATGTAACATTATTGAGAATGATTCAAACCGGTCCACTTTTTCGTCCTAACCTCATATAACACGATATTCTTAAAAGTCGCTTTTTGGAAAAATTTGTAATTTTCAAAATTTCTCGGCAAAAGGGCTTCTGACGGCATTCTAAATTGGAATGAACACTTTGGATCGGCAGGGGTAATTTTTGAACCCCCTCTTCCATAAAGAAAACTGATGTTCATAGAACAAAAAGGTATAATTTTGAAGGCTTCATGATGAAAATGATATCAAAATTAAATGTACCAAATTTGGACCATCTACGCCCACTTTTGGATTCTGCTCTGTGTAAGGATTAAACTTGTACTATACTTAGGTTGCGTCTTGGGACCTCTTCCCTATAAATACGCACATGGAGAATATGCCTCTATATAGAAACAAGATAAAATCAGAATTGTGTTAGCCAATGTGCCATATGGTATTTAATGGTCGGACTTGCCCGACTATAATATTCTTATTTGTTTTAATATCATTTATTTTCTTATGAATGCGATAGTTAGTCAATCTGCCAATACTGGCATCATGGATTCTATTTCATTTTGCTACGAAAACAGAACACTTATATGCAGCTCTTTGTTTGAGCGGTTTAGGCGGTGGTCTTATGGAAGCACCGGTAAGTTATTTAACAAATGTGTTTTATTTCTGTTAAATACATATGTGATAATTGTAAATATAAATAATTAACAAAACGTGCTTTTATAGGTGCTCACGTATGTAGCAGAGATCACGGAACCTAAATATCGTGGTATTTTATCAGCATTGGGTTCTACTTGCGTCATTACAGGAATATTTATACAATTCATAATGGGCTCTCTCATGGATTGGCGTACCATAGCTGCGATAAATGCAGCTTTTCCTATTCTCTCTATTATAGCTCTGTGCTTTGTACCTGAAAGTCCTATCTGGTTAATTAGAGCACAACGTTTTCGTGAGGCGATAAGGTCGTTACAATGGCTACGTGGCTGGGTTTCTGAGCACGATGTAAAGGAGGAATTTAATCGTTTATACGATGAATTAATCACACAGCCTGCTCTGGAAGAAGCAAAGGAATCTATAGATCATAAAACTCATGCGTATTTGAGCCGTCTGCGTATGTTTAAGAAACGTTCATTTCTGGTACCATTTCTATTGGTCGCTTACACCTTCTTCACGGGTCATTTCTCCGGCAAAACGAGTCTTCAGACATATGCCGTTCAAATTTTTCATACCCTGAAAGCACCCATTAACAAATATCATGCGACCATTCTATTGGGCGTTGCCGAAATGATTGCCACAATAATGTGCGTATTTTTAATACATTTCACTGGTAAAAGACCCTTGGTGTTGATTTCTACCGTAGGAGTAGGCATTTGCTTTTTCGGTACTGCCACATACGCTTATCATTTAAAAATTATACCTGGTTTTGCGATCAACAATGTGGTCGTAAATGCTTCATCGCTTGTGCCAAACGAAAGCATTTTAAGTCACGATAATATAACGAAGATATTTGAAAACCAAGGAAATTCCGAGCCAGCCTTCTCGGACAAAATTAAATCAAATAAAACTCAAAGAGAGTTGCCGCGGCAAAACTCGACCTTCGGCTATCACGAGAATGAGAGCATCGCTGATTTAAATGATACCATTGTACTTATGTACACCACAACAATTTCGCCAAATTTGATTTCTACTACGAATAAAGGATTACTTAATGCAATGGATCCTAAGGATATTGAAAATAATATATTATTAAACTTGCCGCAACAGGAGAAGAATACATTAGTGTGGCTACCTCTTATCCTATTATTGGGTGCTGCGTTTTTTGCCCATTTTGGTATACGTATGATACCTTGGATTTTAATAGGCGAAGTATTCCCGGCACCAGTTCGAAGTACCGCCTCAGGCTTAGTTAGTGGTTTGGGCTATATCTTCGGATTTTTGGCAAATAAATTGTTCCTTCAAATGCTTGGCGCGTTAACGTTACCAGGAACGTTTTGGTTTTATTCGCTTGTGGCTTTAGTTGGTGCTGTAATTTTATACTTTACTTTGCCAGAAACGGAAGGACGCACACTTGGTGTATGTACACTTGCTTCTTTGCAATAATTTTTCGAATTATTAATTATTTATCTTAAATTACTTAGGAAATTGAGGCTCATTTCTCCAAGAAATCTACAATAAATTTGCTAAGCAAAAAGCAACAAAAACAATTTAAGGAAAATGATCAGAAAAAAGAAAAATTAGAATCACACCAATTTCAAAAGCGTCCTTCTATATCAAAACCTATACTTATGGGTAACGCTGTAATACCTATAAGTTCTCCCAAAGAAACGAATATCATACAACTGCAACAATGTGAACCTATGCCACCTGATCGACCTACAAGCGGTATTGATGTTACAAGCGCTAATGGCGTTGTACTAGGAAGTAAAGAAGGCTTTACTAACCTGGCTTATGAAAAGAGCGACACCACTCATTTGTAAATAAATAAAAAATTGGTTCTATTTCTTTTCAATTTCTAGTAATATTTTACGATATCACAAAATTTTTTGATAAGCTATTGTACCGTGTTATTTTATGTATTTATAATTTCGAAACCTTTCTAAAAGTGCATCACTTTAGTGAACGTTTGCTTTTGTGAATACTTTAACTAATTTAATCAATTTTTTAAATACTAAAAAATAACTAAAAAAACAGAAACACTTGCAATGTGCTTGCATTGGTATAATAAAACTTGCCTTTTTTTTAAATTCCTGGTCATTGCCATCACAAAAAATTTTGGCACTTCCTTTATAGAGTGACACAATCATAATTTTAAAAATCGCTGTTTTCCACTTTTGCAAAAGCGCAGTAAAGTACGATGTGATATAATGGAAATAAAAAATTTTAAATCAGACTTTGGCAATACTGCCGAAATAGCTTATTAAATACAAAAGCATAACCCAAAGAACCAGCTAATAAACACAATTACTCCCCGCGACCAAGAACATAACATTTTCTTTTGAAAATTTTCATTTCAATAACTTTTTCAAACCAAACCGTTTATTTATATGTCGCACCATGCTCAGCCGTTCAGTTGTGTGGTAGCAGCCAAGGATAAGTGATCACGGACATAACCAGTTGACTTTTACTTTAGGGTTTTTTTGAATTTTACGGATAGGGGGTGGTCGGTGTGGCTTCGCCGTCATCCCTAAATGACTGGAGGATACTCGCTTTTGCGACGTGAAGCGATTAGGCACGGAAAAGTGGACGTGTAGGCCGAAGCTGGCTGCTGCAACACCCACGACGTAATCTTTTCTTTTACAGAAACTCGCGATACGGAAACGTGGAAAAGTAAATATAATACTAATCGTTTGGAATGAATAAGAAATATTCCGGCTGAGTATACCCTGCCCAAGAAGACTCGTTACAATATAAGAACATCGGTCTACAAATTTTTCAGTTTTCGTTCTAAAAACGGATAAATTTGTCAATATTTTTATACACGGTACATAATAAAGTGCTATATTTGCAAAAAATTTCGTTACTAGGCGGGAAAGTCGACCCACATTTTCAATGAAGCGGTGGTATATAAGCTGAATCATATAATTGCTTTGGGTTTACGTAATGCATCGCTATTTGCATTGGCTTCACGTTACGGCCGGCGCAATGCGCAATCAAATCATCTGATAAACGCATTAAATGGTCTAAACAGTATATTGCTGGTTTCCCGTATTCGCGTAAGAAGATCTTATGTTTGTCACAAAGGTATTCTTCCTCAGTGACTAATTGCAACATATTACAACCGATAATAGCGCTGCTACCATGCGTTATCAAAAAGTGATCTTTTTGCAAAACTTTGCGATAAACAGCATATCGAAGGCCAGTCATCGCCCTGCCATCATCGAATAATATCTTTGCCAATCTTGGATAAAAAGCACTACAAATGAACTTCATTTCACCGTCAAAAAATGTTCTACAACGGGGGGTCAAGGCTGTCGACGGATGTACACTGTAACTGTATATTACATAAGATATTGCAGCAAATTTCCAAATGTTAATGCAATGTTCCATTGTATGAAAAAAATTATTTAATTTAGACAAAAAAAAAAAAGAAACGAAAACTCAAAGATACTCAAACGATAAAAAAAACTCATTGAATTCATAGTTGACAGCAGAAAAAAATCGAATCAGTTTCGATATGGAAATCTATGGATTACTTTGATTTAATTAGAACGTGGGCCATGTCGTCGTTGGTTGCTGAAACCCCGCGCACTAAATACTAGACGTTAAAAACAACTGACTGCGACTATCGCTTTCTAACTTTCCTTCCGTCCTCACACATTGACGAATGACTTCTTTCCGTTGCTAATTAAAGAAGAATTATCATTTCTCTTTTGCAGTTGGACATCTTTCTCCGCTTTCCTTTTTTTTTGGATACAGTTAAGTACGTGTTTTTCAGCAACCGGTGAATTGTTGCATTACTTAAGGCTTTTTCTTATCGTTTTCTTACCAAATGCCCTAAGTGCTAGAATTTGAAATTTGGAAATCTAGTCGTCACTGTAATTATGCACATAATATACATTATATAGAGCGAATACGAAAAATATACATATTCTCGTTGCTGTTGATTTTTTTTATTATTATTAAATGAAGTTGTTTTGTAGTATAAGTAAATTAAATGTATAATAAGTAGTTTTCCACATTTCAGCGAATTTTCAATTGTTGATTTGCCGAATTGCAGAAGAAGAAGAAACAGCAAGCATGAAAATTCCTTTTAGAAAATGAATAAAAAAAAGAAAATTAAAAACAGTTCAGATTGTCAAGTTTTCGGGAAAAGTACGAGCCAAAATGAAAATTTATAATTAAATAGCTATACGTAAAATAATGTAAACTAACGTAAATTGTGGTTCATTCTCGAAAGGAGCCGAATGAAACCACAAAGCAATGCTTTCCTTTTGACGGGTAAACATGCCAAAGTCCGGATTGAAGTTCCTCAATAATCAATTGGAAGAATTCTCTGGAAACACCTCTCTCATCAATACCCTGCTCACCCACAAATTCTACGACCAATTGTTATTTCAAGTCTTTCGGATTACTCATAGCCACCAATTTCAATCCAATTAAAGCATCATCAACAAGACTATCACGCAGCACTTTTCATTTTAAATCGGGCCGTCACCAAAATAATTTAATAAAGAAAAGAAAAAACAATTGGAATTCCTCGTGCGAAGATTGGTTTTTTTTCTTACAGCTGACAAGAATATACATTTTATAATTTACCTAACAAATGTTGAGGTTAGTGCGAAAAATTGAACAATGCAAGAGACAGTTTTCGTATTGTATCTTAGTGGGGAGTGGAAGGTGAATCCGCTTTAAGAACCCAAGGTGTAAAAGTTCATGAGCAGATTGAAGCGTACCATCTAAATCGATTGCGAGACGGAAACTCTTCGATGGGAGGATAGTATTCTGGGTTTTAGAAAACTAGAAAAGTGTGGTTTATTATTAGTTCTTAAAGTGTAGTGCGAGGATTTGAACCGATTAAGCGAAATATCAGAATAGCCGGCAGAGCCAACTTGACATCATTTTATTAAAAGCAGTCAATTGAGAAGTTCTAATGCCAGCGTACTCGAGTGCTTACGATTAACAATTTTTTGCATTGATGAGTCAGGCTCTTATGAATATACACGAAAACGATTGGATGACCAGTTTGCCTCGCAAGGACGAAAATTTTTTTTGACGTGGACTGCAAAAATTGTCGAACAGTGGGAAAAAGATAATTAGTGAAAGGCAATATTTTTCATAGTCTTGCTGCAATAAATGCCAAAAATTCGGTTACATATGTCTATATCTCGGATAACGCATTTGTCAAACAACTAATAAAAAAAAACTTTCGTATTTTGATAAGATTTTGTGCTGCCAAAAAATATTTGAGCACTTCTCCACTTCTATTGGAAGCTTCTTGTTCTTGTCGCAACCATTTCAAACATCCCGTGAAGATGGGGTATTCAATTCATCAAAATTGAAAGAACAATTCATCTAGGCATGTTGTAGGTAGTTTGAGGACAAATCATTTTAAAACGGTTTATTTATGCATATATTGGCAGTTAAGTTCGACGTTGAAAATGACATGCTATTTTATAATTTCGATTTGGCAATACTATCTGAAATTTATTTGTTTACGTACGCCTGTGAAGTTCACAAATGTTAATAATCACGAGATGAAAAACGGAAATTTTATTTATTATTTAAAGGCAAAACCACTATGCCCTTGCCCTTCGCTAATTTTTATAAAAGCGCAAATGTGTGTTTATGCTAATAAGTTTTTTTCGGAAGCGGTACTAAAATTTTTTTTTTTTACGGATTATATCCAAATTTTAATGTATCACCAGGGTTGGTAGTGGATAACTGCACTTCTAAATCTTCTATTAACTTGCATATATCTCTATCTCCTTCTTCAGTATTCGTTGATGAGATTCTCAATTCCGTCAATTAAAAACGTACTTGACGTCGAGCCGAGCTTTGCTTGCCGTAAGCCGAGAAAAGCATTGCTTAAGAACGTGTAAACAAATTTTAAATCAATACCGTTTATCTCTCCCGGGTTAAGATGATTTTCTTTTTTTTGGCATTTAGCTGAATTTTTTTCGTCAACTCTGTTAGTTTAAAATTTGTATAATTAAAAAAAAGGATGTCAAACCTTAGCTGGTGGTTAATAATATAAATTTTGTCAGAATCTGCACGAAAAAAAAGAGTAAAATATGTGTTATTCGTTGTTTGTTGTTATTAATTCCTTCGTTTTGCAATAGAATACAAATTAATTTATTTTCAAGATCCATGTACTACCAGCGTCTTCAAGAAGGTAAGTGTTGCCCATATAATATACATAGTATAATATATATTAGTAAAATTTTCATTTAGGTTGAATGTTCCACAGAAGAAAAAATCGTTTAATTCAAAATACGGAAAATATCTTGAAAAAAGAAGAATAATCTGTCTTTTAACCCGTTCATTTTCAATCAAAATGGATAATACCGCAGACCATACCTCTTTCTCTTTTTCTTCTCATTTCAAACTAAAAATTTTTTTTTTCTTAATCACATTACATATGTACATATATTAATTATAAACCAACTATAAGCGATTTATAAAGATTCAATAGGATTTCCCTGGTAATTAGCGAAAATTTTATTTGGCCTGGCTTTTCGTATATAGATTTCAATTATATGTATATATGTCGTATATTTGGGATTTATAATTTAAAGAAAGTGTAAAGAAGTACAAGCACTTGCAACAATTTTAAGGCACCCATGCACAAGCATTCCTTGTACTAAAACACTGCGATCATCTTCCGGCAGTCGAAATCAAATATTTATACTTATTTGGTCTTTATTTGCAGACGTGCTTACATTATTGTATAAACCGCGATCTTGTAAATGATCAGCATTTACTACCAAAATTTGACGAATAGCATCAAGATCCAACATTAATACCATCGGTTTTAGCCAGGCGTAAAAACCGATAAATGGTGCTTGTCCGCTATAGAGGGCGTAGAAATGTCGCAAATCATCAGCTGTATGCAGCTTACTTCCAACACTTGGGTTTAGTATGCAGTATACCACAATATTTCTAATAACTGAAAGCTGCTTTCCCTAGTAAAATAGAGAATTGTTGTCGAACCCAAAATGATGAGCATTCAAAATTGTGGCAAATTCATTATTCGTCTCTTTTTGCAGTGCAGAATTGTTATCCATTTATATATCGTTAAGAAAAAGGGAGTCTTTTTTTCAAATAATGTTGAGGATCTCTTTATATCAAGTATCGGGAGTTTACTAAATTTGCTGGTACAACCTCAACTACAATTTTCGGATTGGGACTCCAACTTTGCCAATAACAATACTGCAGAATAGATAAGATATGCCCATAGGATACGTAAGAGAATGGAAGAAAAGGGAAGAAAAAAAGAATTTTCAAAAATTCTGATTTTTTAGATTCTGCGCCCGATGAAACCTACTAAGTCTTCGTCAGGCTGTAAAAAAGAAGCATCTCATAAGTATTCTCACTTTTTATTTCCTGTTTTTTTTGAAACAAACCTCCTGCTGCCGCGCTTGTTAAACGCTTCAACGATTCGGTGGCAGGCATATTTAACTTAGTCGTTTTGAGGCGGTTTTCATTACAATTCGTAAAAGGCCTCTTCTTTTTCTTATATTTACATTCTGTTAATTCTTCTTGTTATTGTAAACATCGATTTCAAGAAATATCGTCTTAATCTGAAATTAATTAGAAATAAATAACAAAGTTATAAACGACAATCAGTGAAGATAGTTTCAAACTTACCATTGGAATACATCGAAAATCGCGAAAAGCGGGGGAGCTGACGCGCGGGGAGAGTGTGGCGGAGGAGCTGATGCGCGGAAGAGCCGACTCGCGGAGGAGCTGACGCGCGTTGGACTCTACTCCTTAGAAAGACGGTATGTTCTTGTGCCAATTCATCGATAAAGGCATCACCTACATTCACCATGACCTCTTCTTGGAAGAATTCCTTCTCCTCAATTAGTTTCGACATCGCCTCCGCGGCCCGCATAAGATCAAGTTCTCGCGCATACCACAGATATGCGCAGTAATCCGTCCTCCGAGACAGCCCTTTCTCGAGCCGTTGCAGATGCCGCCTGACATTTTTCAAAACGGTTCGCACCTTTTCCGCAGACACAGGACGGTGCAGCTCCTCGCTTACCTTGCCGGCCAGTTCCTCGTACTTGCCTTTAATCGGCCCCCGCTGATATCGCCACAAGTCCGGGTAGTCTCGAAGTAGACGGCTCAGTACATCGTGGAATTGTTTATCGGCAGTGGTCATACTCGTTGGGTGTGTCACAAGTAACTGAAATAATAATTCACTTTTTGTAAATTAATTTAGACAATAAAAAAAAAATCAAAAACAAGACATATAGCACTAGCATCTAAAGCTGCCGGCTTTACAAAAGAATTATTATATCATACAATCGAGATGATAAAACACAGCCGGCAAAAAAACGAATGAATTTTTATTTATTTTATTTCTACTTTAGTGGCAACATTCGCGTAAGAATTTGCACTAATTGCAATAAAGTATCAGAAGCAAAATCTCTGCAAACTACTAACCTTGTTCCACACATTCACATAAGCTTATTAATTATAAACTCGTATCGCCAGTGGTGCAGGTATAACGCGAATAGAGTATAAGCAATATTTGGGTCAAGCGCTTTCTTGTGCAGAAGTTCAAGTAAGCTTTTGAATAGAAATATATATTTATAGGGAAAATGTATATATATACAGAAAATTGAAAAAGAGCGTTAAGGGAAACCGTGGTGCGTCTTTACGATATCAACAAATGCAAGTATAGTTGTGGCAACTACTACATAGCGTAAACATTGGCAATTGTGAAAAGTTTGTATGGCAACATTTGTTATGTCTGGTTGCTCTTTTCCTTTTCGTAAATTTCGTGCACAAAGATGGTGATAAAAGGCTTGCACAAAGATCTATTTTATATGAAGACATCTTTTACAAGAAATAATAATAAAAACTTAAAATATGAACCATGGATCCTCAATGAATATATACTTAAATGATATCTCCCCGACATTTCTTTTCTTTTCATTTCTTCAATTTTGTAATCACGAAATTATTCGAAATTGCTAGAAACGAAAGAGACATCAAGGAAATTCCCAGAAAAAGTTTGCGAGTCTCGGCTGCGTCTCTTTTTTAATATATGAAATAGAATGCTTTAAATAAACGAAGTAAACGCACTTACCTTCTATATAAATTAGTTCAGTTGTCTTCCTATTGGAATTGTATATTTATGATTGAATTTTTCTTATTTGGATGTTGAATTTCACACAGTCATGAACGAGATTTGAATTATCTCATTTTTCGTACGCATATATTCAGCACAGAGTTGTATTTAATGAACTAAATTATCTAATTTTTCCCTCCACACAATTATCAAGAATTTTGCATGTATTGTGCCCCTTTGAGAATAAGCGTATACAATTATCAAGAATTTTGCACGTATTGTGCCCCATTGAGAATAAGCATATACAATAATCAGCAACTAATTCAGTGGCTTCTCATGAAGTAAATTTTAATTGAAAAAGTTTTTAGTACCGAAAAAGTCCTTTGTTGTGCGCAAAATTGTAAATAAATGGTAGGAATTGCTCCGTTTATAACATTTCATGGCTTTTTTAAATATTGTTACGGAAATCCCAAATCCTGTTCATTCCAGCTAAGTAATAAAATCCCTAAAGAGGGAAAAATGAATGCACATTCGTAGCATGCAGCTGCCGAGGAAAACGAGTACCAGAAAAGCAGGTTAACGAATTAAAAATGAAACTATAAAATTAGGCATAGTAATGTGATTGGAAACATTTATATAAATAGAATATTTGTGGAAGGAAGAATTACTCTGACAAGAACATTTGAATCGAGAGTACAGCCAAAATAAATTGTGAATAGTCCCACTGTTCAGACATATAGTAGAAAAAGAACTTTGAAGTGTATTCGTAACGTGTAACGAGTTTGTTTTACGGGATTGATTTTCTTTAAAATTTGCATCATAGTTTCAACCAGTTGATCGCTACATACGTCGGTCTTTTTATTTTTAAATTTCGTTAATAACTCTGTAGTGGTTTATGTTTTTAGTTTGCTGTTGTTGAAACATTGGCAATATTGGAAATATTCTGTTTGTGAAATTTGCAATGTTGTTGAGTCTGCTGAGCATCTAATCTTCAGATGTCACAGGCTTGATGGCATTAGAGATTCCTTTAGCTTCTTCAAGTTATACGGCTGTCTCCTCGATCTCTTTGCAGCAAAAAATGTACGTCATCTCGGGGAACTAACTTGCTTTATTAGAAAAGCTAATTTATCCTTTTAGAATTTTTTTTTTTTCCTCTTCTTACCTTTTTTTTCTTTCGTTTTTGCGTTTAATAATCTTCTATTACCATAGCATTGCTTTTCGTTTTCAGCCAAAGTTTGCAACACTGTTTAACTTTCAAGACTCACAATTACACACACACACATACACAATTACATTTAACATGCTCACTCCAGTTATTACGGCCGCTCTTATTTTTTTTTTGTTACTTTTTATAGATAATCGTGACTAAAAATTACAGCAGTTTATTATCTGGACATACAAGCCACAAATCTATTGGCTTAGTCCATCTCTGTTCAACATACCAAAAAAAAAAATATTGGAAATATTGTAAATTTATATTGTTATAGTAATAATAAATATCTAGAAGATAATGCCTAAACCAGATTGTAAATACTGGGATAAATGCTATCAGCGAAATGAAATTCATTTACAAAAATATAATCATCCGGAAACTAGGGGCGATAAAATAGCAAATGAGGAAACTCAAAGTTCCACTGAAAGCGAAGCAAGTGATCACAAATCTAAAAACTTTCAGGATGCAGATAATATACCGGATAAATACGAAACAGCTTCTTTGCGTGAAGAGGCAATGGCGAAATTAAGTGGTAAGAATTATATGGCAAGGTTGCAAAACCGCATTAAACTGTCAGAGCAAAAGGAATATGATAATTTGGTACAAAGTAATGAATTTATACGACACAAATTTTTGGTGGAAATGCCACCGGATTTCTATGACTTTTGGAAGTTCTTACAACAACTTAATCCTAAGCAAAATGGTCAAGAGATTTTATTATATATGGAGAAACAATTCCAATTGCAGTTGGTGGGACCCTTCGAATTCATAGCCGGAAAATTTCAAAAAGCTAAGATACGCGAACCGGGTGATTATCTAAGACATTGGCGTTTTTTCTACGATCCTCCCGAATTTCAAACAGTATTTGTGCGTAAGTCTACTGAAATACATTATGGCTATTGGCGTGATAGTCCAAAAGAAAATGATAATTTGTTGCTGGCGCGTAATGATAGTAGAAAAAATTGTGAATTCGTATTCATTGCTGGTAACATTTTTGAGGCATTTTTGTACTATCTGGATAGAGATTTCACGCCAACACCGTTTACAGCTACAATGGTAGCCACAACAAAAAAGGCTTTACAAAAATTTGCTGAAGTTCATGATATAGCTTTAGATAATTTGGAAAAATTGCGCAAAAAACGAAATAGTAAAGTAGTATGTAAAACTTTCCATCGAGCTGGAATTGTCGTACCGTATGATCGTAAAACCCAAGTAGGCTATCGCCCACTGATTGAAAGTGATTCGGAATTAAAAAAAATTTTACAGATCTTCGAAACCGTCGATGGAGAAACAAGCGATCCGGACGATCGAATCAAAACGAGCGTGATGGAAAAATTAAATCCGATAGCAGTGGCGGCCAATATAGCTGTAGACGAATGCGATTTTGGAACTGCTCTCGAACTGGGCATTGATCTTTTTTGTAGTGGCCATAAAGAGTTGCATATGCTAATACAAACCCTTCTAGTACAAGCTTACTCTTTACTGCATCGTCCGCAATTTATAGCCATAGCGAAAGCACATTTGGAAAGGCGAAATCATGTCAATTTAAGCATTTTTGATTTGGATAACTAAAAAATAATATATACGCTGCGTTCTGTCCACATACTATATTATATTTTGTAAGTTTGAAATAAAAAGAAAATTCTGAAAAAAAATCAAGCACCGTTCCTTAAGTTTAATTAAACGAACATAAATTACATATACAAGTGAGAGTCGTCAGACTTTTTGAAATTGTAAATATCTGCGCAATTAATATCTAAATCATGTAGTAGTTTTATTATAGGTTTTGCGGCCAAGTAATCCAAAGCTACGTTGTCTGTATAAGCTAGGAAAACTTGAACTTTTAAGCCTTCGCTAAAACGCCAAGAAGCAACTAGACGTACGTGTAAAAAGAAGTTTAATAAATTAAAGAAAAAAAGTAATAGTCATACGTATATCAGAACTCACTCCCTGCTGTCACGCCGCAAATGAAATTTGGTGCTTCGAGCGATTCTACGTAATTTACTTTACTTGCCAATGACCTAAGGAAGGTAATTTCGTCTCGTACTGCAGTAATGTTTTCACTCTTGTAATCTACTTTGGGTTTAATTGACAACGTGACTACTTCTTTGGGGGCAGAAGCAATTTTCTCTGATATAAGCAGCTCAGTGATTTCGCCACTTTTGCTTAAATCTTCTTCCACGATAGCTATCATAGTTGCGTTGTTATCTATGAAATGTAGAGATGATTTTTTACTTGGTATTCCTGCCAGTTTTTTGGAATCTTTCAACAGTACAGATTCAGCGAAATTGGATATATTAAGACCTTCAATCACTAGCAGCAGATTCGTTTTCGAAATTGCTTTATCTAGCTCCGCACGAGATGCAATACTTAACTGTAATCTAAAGGTTTTTAAAAAAATTTTGATGCGGTTTTTTATATTGTCAAAATAAATATTCAAGTACCTCTCCGGTTCAGTTGAAGGAATCTCGTCCTCATCGCAGTCGTCCCAAAAAGCTCGAGAAGATGGTATATTTAATTCGCCAAAACCAAAAGGACAGCTCATTTTGAATGTAGATTTATGTATTTAGCTAATGGAAGTTAGCCGTCAGCTGCAAGTCATGTTCAACATCTCAATTGCTTTACGATTATACAATTTCGATTTGGCAATGCTATCTAAAATTTATTTGTTTGCCTACGCCGTGTGTGCGTGAATTTCACAAGATGTTAATTTCAGGCAAAAAAAACCAGGGACGGATTCATTTTATTCTACGCTTAAACGGTACAGCGAGTACAGAAGAAATGGGGGTAATGGTAACTTGCATAAGGTGAAGATTTAGTTAAAGTTATCATAACATTGTTGAAGTATGGATTTGCTAACAGATTAAAGTGATTACAAATAATTTTAATGGTTTTAATAAACATTTTAAAATGGCTGCTAAGATTAAAAACAAAATTAGATAACATAAAGGCTTACATATGAAAATGAAAAGATTGCAAGTGAATAGAACGTACCTATTTTCATTTCCATTTAAAAGGAGCTTTAAGAAGGTGCGGTATTTTCCAACAACTCACTTAATTAATAAGAATTGTTTCTTATTAATTGTAAGTGAGTAATGGGAAGAAGATATTCAAAAACGAACATGTGGAAAACTGGAAATGCCAACAATTATATAGCGTGTAAAACCCCTAGAAAATTTTTCCGAAAATCAATATTTTTTATTGACTTAATACATGCTTTGAACCTTTCACAGTATTGTAAATAAGGTTTCACTATTGATAGAAAGTTTTCCTTTGCCATTTGAAGCTCTTATGCAAGCGTAATTGTTTCCGATATATACCGGAATAATGAAAATTTCTCTTGAAGACATTGCCAAGCGGTACAAGCATGCCGAGTTATCTTTCATGAAGTTTCCACTAACTATACTCTATACCGCAGACATATCGCTATCTTTCAATAATTTTAGTTCAATAACTTTTTTATTTAATATTTATTACTCTTTTACAGGCATTCATTTATCAAAAAATAAAATTTTGTCAAAAGGACTTATTTAAGCTGTTTCTTTTTAACGCCTTCTCTTATTCAAGCAATTGGAATTAATGTCCTATACACGTTATTTTTCCACCTTTCGAAATTTTAATAATTTTTTAAAAAATTGGTTTTGCGTGCTGCTCGTTGTTACTTTTGAACGTGTTTTCAAATGTCCGTTCCTTTTTGCCTCGTATTTAAAACACCATATTGTGAACTTCACGCTCATAACGTTTACATGTTACTTCACCTGACCGCAATTCAACAATCAGCTGATTTTTACATTTAAGTATAGTGGATAGAAACAACATCTTTTGGCGGATTTCCATTGAATATAGTAATGAACTCAAATAATATTAAATATTTTCAAATGATCTTTTAAAAAAAATCCTACTCTACTAAATATCAAAAATGGTTTCGCAAAATTCAGATAACGAAAGTGGTTTGTGCGATCATACTTTTAAATTTTATCAATTTTACCGATTAGAATTTTAGGTTCGGCCTCGGAATCTGAATCGCGGTCAAGTGGCAGTCGAAGTTCTAGCCGCAGTCGAAGTAATTCTTCCCAAAGGGGGCAAACACCTGGACGCGCTGCAAGGTATTTGTAACTCGTCTCTGGCGGAATTTCTTTTAATAAATAAAAAATTTAACAGTTCGCCAGGCTCTCGTAAATCTGGGAGTGGCAGCAATCGTTCCAATTCAGGTAGTCCTTCTGGATCGGATCGTTCCGGGTCTCCGTCTGTCTCTCGGTCTGGTTCACCTCGAAGTTCACGATCTCGTTCACGATCTGCAGCTAGCCGGCATTCGGCAAACGGGCACAGATCTCGTTCACACTCTCGCTCTGGGACACCACAAAGCAATCGTTCTGGTTCCGTGGGTAGTCACCGATCTCGACGCACAGGCAGTCGAACTCCAATTGGATCACCGAAAGTCAATGCTAATGGCCATCCTAATGAAGATTCTAGATCTCGGTCTCCTAATTTGCAAATAGATGATCAGGCTGATTCACGCAGCCGATCTCATAGCGGTTCTCGGTCAAAGTCTGCCTCGTTGCATAAGTCAAGATCACGCAGTGGTTCCGTTAAATCACATTCAGCTTCTAGAAGTCGTTCTCATTCTAAGGCACGATCACATTCGGTTAGTCGTTCTCGTTCAGCTACTCCGCATTCCCATAGCGGCTCAGAGTCTCGGTGTGATTTCGGCGAAAATACGAAGAAAAAGCGCAAAACTGTTCTTAGTGATGAAGATGGTGAAGGAGAAGAAAATAAAAAAAATAAGAAAGCTCGCATATTTGATTCTGAAAGTGAAAATGAAGCTGAGAACAGCACTGTGAAGATAGATGCCCAAGACATATTTGGAGATGCTGATGATATTAGTCTATCTGAGGATGAGGGAGAAGAAAATAAAAAAAAATCTATTAGCGGTTCCGAGCATGGTTCACCAAAATCACGTTCTTCTTCCAGAGCTTCTAAAAGGTCACGATCACGTTCAATGTCAAGATCTAGATCACGTTCACGTTCGCGTTCAGGTGAACGTGCCGAAGCGCAACAAAGAGAAGATGAGCCCGAACCGATTCCAGAAACACGCATCGATGTTGAAATCCCCCGAATAGTTACTGATTTGGGGCGTGAGATACATTTTGTTAAATTACCCAACTTTTTGTCGGTAGAAACGCGGCCTTTTGATCCCGAAACCTATGAAGATGAAATCGACGAAGAAGAAACTATGGATGAGGAAGGCCGACAACGTATTAAATTAAAAGTCAGCAACACAATACGTTGGCGTGAATATATGAATAACACTGGTAAAATGATAAAGGAATCAAATGCTCGTTTTGTTCGTTGGTCCGATGGTAGCATGTCTCTTCACCTGGGTAACGAAATTTTCGACGTTTATCGTCAACCATTACATGGTGATCACAATCATATGTTCATACGACAAGGTACAGGTCTCCAAGGACAGGCAGTATTCCGTACCAAGCTTACATTCCGTCCCCATTCGACGGAATCGTTTACACATAAAAAGATGACAATGTCATTGGCTGATAGATCTCAAAAAGTCAGCGGCATCAAAATTCTTACGCAGGTTGGTAAGGATCCAACTGCAGATCGTTTGTATAATCTGAAAAAGGAAGAAGAAAAACTTCGCCAAGCGATGCGAAATCAGCATAAACCACAGGTAAAGAAGAAAAAGAGTGGCCATGAGACGCATAGCGGCGTCGTTCATTCCTACAATCATGATGAGGGTAGCGATGAAGAAAATGCGATTTCGTTGAGCGCCATTAAAAACAAATATAAAAAAGCTACTGCTGCTCTACCGTCAAATGCTGAAAATAAGGCTTCAGCCATCTATTCGTCGGACGATGATGAAGGTTCAGATTTTGAAGGTCGTCGCAGTAAGAAGGGAGCTGATAAAACAAAAGTGGTTAAAGCGCTGCGTGATTCAGATAGCGAATCAGAGGATGGCGCCGAAAAACTTAGTCAAACCGAAAGAAGTGAAAGCGGGGATGATTATGGTGATGCTAATAAAAGCAGTGCGGCTGCAAGCGAAGACGAGTAGTTTCACGAGTTATGAACATTAGGAGAAAGAAAAAGTGAAAATAAAAAGTAAAATTAAAAAGGAAATATTTTCTTATTTACAGTTTTGTTAAGTGGATGATGCGCTCTGCAGTGGCTCATAAAAAGAGTTTTTATTTAGTAAAATCTAGGCATTTTTTCTCACCCATATAGAAGGCTTATCAACAAGTTTCCTTCTCGTAAAATCAAATACTGAATTACAGGGAATTTAATAATGAAATTCCATCCCATCCGTAGAACTTATTGCAGCTTTTTTTAAAGAAATAGCGCTATGTCTAAAAGCTTGGGAAGCTGTAACGGATAACTCACAATAATGAGTATTTTTTAACAAACAATTAACTTTACTCTATCGTAACTAATTTGCAGCATTATATATAAAGCATTTAATAGACTACATTTATCTAATATTAGATGCTGAAATTTATACCGTCTCTAACTCCTTAATCGCGATAAAATTTATCTTTGGGGACAGGAAAAAAGGCCAAGTGCGGTGAAGACGATGGCTGAGACATGATTTCGGTATTGTTCTTGGCTAATATTGCGAAAGTTCTTTCGCAAAAAATTTTACAATTTTGGGAAAAACTTCGCTACCGTTGGGTCGTCCAGGAGGAGGAGAAGCATCGTACCTTTAAATATGTTCTCGGCCTTCTTATAAAAGATTTTTTTTTCTCAAAGTAGGCTTGGAAAATCTTCCACTCAGAGTGTTAAGCGAGTTGGACACATTTTACGTTTTCTTTACGCAAAATTTAATAATTCTAGGATTCATCTTTTCCAATAGCGAAAAATTGGCAAGCACATCGCAACCCATCTAAGATTTACATATTTGTCGAAAACAAACTGCAAATGTAAAACGGCTGATAATGTTGACATAGGTTGAAGCCTATGTATCAACATAAAAAAAAAAATTCGGAAATCGCATATATGCAGATTACGAAATTTAGGAAGTCACCTCTTCTTTCTTTTTTTTGAACACATCTCGTACCATTGATTGTATGGCAGAATTCATAATTAATATCAATAATTTTATTGCAAAGTTTTAATTTGTTGGTAGAAAAGAAATCGGACCATTTTAAGATGGTCTCGGTCATCACGACGAAGCTAAACTAATGTATTTTTGGTTATTTGCATACCTTTTTAAGTGAAGTTGGACATTTTCTAAAAACATCTGTTCGCGCACTAAAGGCGCTTGAAAAAGTAGATAAGACCGAGGTCTGAACGCTTCCAGAATGGGTTCACTTATCACACAGTGGCAGCCATTTTGAGACTTTACGGAAAAACTTTCTTTCAGACTAAGGCATTTTTTTTTTTCAAGTATTCCCGAGAGATCGCAGCAAGAGGATCTAAGCCTATAAAATGTTGACCCATGTAAACTTCCCTAAATGAGCTTTTGCATATTCAATGGTCTTCCAAAATAGAATGTTTGAAAAGGGAAGAGAATAAAACTTTCAATTTACGAAATTCTACGAAATTATTGTTATTCCACTCGCCTCCGTTCGCGAGAGGATTTGCCGTCATTTCGTAGGTTCTGATTTTTTTGTTTTACCTCTTCTTTTATTGACCATACTTCTCTTCTCTTGATCGATTAAATAATGGTACACAAAACAAATTTACATAAATCATGACTACACCGGGAACGAAAATACAATCAATATTTACTACTGGGTTCGCGGATTTTTCGATCGCCAAAAGCAATTATTATCAATTATCTCACATGCAGTGGACTCTTTAGGAGTTTGATTTGCTTAAGAATATTAACGATTGGGTCTTAGTGAGCGGCGTCGCCGCACGTTGTTCATTTTATTGTTAGATTTCTGCGGATAAACGCTATTGGGTGACATTGCGTTATTCCGTTTACTCTCCGTGCTCTCTAAGAAAGAACATCGATCATCGTTGCCAGTTACGTATTCGAGCAATTCACGACTTGTAACTTTAATTAGCCGGCGAAATTGTCTTTCATTTTCTCCCACTTCTTTCCCCACGAATTGCCAAAGTATTCAGTGTCCCTGACTGCTTTGGTTATATCAAATGAGTTATTACTTCCTTTTCCCTTTTACTTCAATAATTTATTTAAAACTTTATTAAACCAAAGTTATTTTTCTTCTTTTTTTTTTTTTACATCAACTTTAATATATATATATATATATATATATATATCTACTATAATTTTTTTTTATTTATTTTTTTTTCTTCATTTCCGTTAATACATTTTGTATTTGTGTAATTGTATATAAAAATTTAAATCTTTATTATCGCTTTGCTATTCACATTTATTTATCCCATTTATACTCAGTACCGATTGATGGTGGGATCAGCTTGTCTCCAATAAAATCACTTAAAAATGCTTATCGAATATATCCGTCCGTAGAATGTGTATTTATTTAATTAGTAAAAGTCAATTTTGGAGAAGTGATTTACGAAGACCCCCGCCTTGGCTATTTTCGTGAATCGATATCTGAATCGATAGAGATATGTTGTTGTCAAGATTTCAAAAATGGTAACAGAAAATCACAGGGTCACATATAAACATGGACATCACTAATTGGAACGGTTACGGAAAGAGTGAAAAAAGGATAAATTTCAAATTTTTTTTTTTTTGGTTAAATAAAGAAAAACTTTGATTTTTATTTAAAAAGACGATTGCTTTGTAAGTTAAAGAGTGTAAGGCAAAAGTGCCGAACACGTTCAACTATAGGTTTATATAATTTTACTCAAAGACTAGAATTACTTAGAATTAATTAGGGGAAAATATGACCGAGTGTTCGTTAATAAATTTCTAAATTTAACATTTCTTAATTAATTAAAACAAAAAAAAAAAAATTTGCTTCAGATGCTTCAGCCTTTGAAGGACTCATTTTTCATTTCCGTTTGATTCGATTTCACTTGTGACGTCGTTAAAGGTTATAACGGTATATATAAGATTTTTTAATTCGAAATCTAGGGCATTTTTTTTTTGTTTCTTTTTTTTGGAAGTAAGTCAAAGACAAAAGTCGGCCACAGAAACAAATGTTAGTTAATATATTGAAAGAATCGCTCGATGCAGTTTAAGTTTTGGAACGTTAGACGCTTTATATGACACATTTGGCAGGTCTAGTATTAAATGAGTTATCTTTATATATTATGTTACCCATCTATTATTCTTTATCAGGAAATTGATACGAAATTTGTTTTTAAAGTAGAAACAGTCATGACCACTCGCAGAGGAAAAAAGAAAACGTAATCAAAGAAAATGCAGTTGTATTCTATTATTATTATTATTAATTTAATCAAAAAAAAAAATCTTTATTTGGCTACCGGCTTTATTAAAAATTTTACCGCGCTTGAGATTTGAACCCCCGACCATTAAGTTGTTCGTCGAGTTCCATGACATGGCTTCAGCGACATGTGCAAATCTTCTTTAGATCCGTTTAAGTTTCGCTTTGTATTTGTTTTTCCATATATTTTAATATCTGGTACTGAGTATAAAAAGTTATTCATAATGAGTATAAAAAGAAAAAATCGAAATTAAAAAAAAAATGCAAATTTTTTTTTTTGAGGGGGGGGGGGGGGGG